GGTGATATACAGGATGGGTTGTTCACACTCCCATTTCAGTGTCAGCACCCTTGGGAGGTAAGGGAGGTAAGCTTGGGGTGGTCTCTCGTCATGCCTACCAATGCTGTCTCTCAAGCGTGTCGTCAGTTACTCACTTCTCACTTGTGGTGTAGCTCCTTTGTGTGAGGGCACGTCGTCATTCCGCAGACGATCACTGCTGCCATGATATACAGGATGGGTTGTTCACACTCCCATTTCAGTGTCAGCACCCTTGGGAGGTAAGGGAGGTAAGCTTGGGGTGGTCTCTCGTCATGCCTACCAATGCTGTCTCTCAAGCGTGTCGTCAGTTACTCACTTCTCACTTGTGGTGTAGCTCCTTTGTGTGAGGGCACGTCGTCATTCCGCAGACGATCACTGCTGCCACAATCAATCTTCCGAAGTTTTGATTAAGCGAGTCTAGTTAAGACTCTCTAAATCAAACTCAGAGAGCACCCCCGCCAGCATCCAGTGCTCTTGCCAGGAGTAAGGGAAGTTGACGGGAGTGTTTGCTCTCATCAGTCTCCCGCTGTGGGGCCACCACCAAGCTAGGCTTATGGTAAGTGTACTTTAAGGAGTTGTATACCTTAAGCCGAGCTGCTGGGTCTAGTGTAGACCTGGCTAAGTCGCTGCCTGGGAGATGGCATTCAAAGGCAGAGGGAACATGGATCGTTTCTGCTTTGACCAGCAACAATTGTGTGTGCTCCAAGGGTGAGAATATTAATTCTGTTTGCTGACCCACAAGTCCTCAGAACAGATTCCAACATTTGAGAAATAAGTTCTATCATAACATTGATTTCCCCCCCACCCCCCAACTTTTTCTCATCTGTGCCTAGACATGGCTGCAGAAGACGAATGGAACTTGCTGTATGTTGCAGTGACTCGTGCCAAAAAGCATCTGTTAATGACAAAGTCCCTAGAATACCTTTTGACTTTGGCAGGGGTGAGTGCACCATGCAATGGCAAAGTGACCGGTGGATACTAGAATTTGGATCTGTGAGCAGATGGAGTGGGAGGTTACAGTGGGTCACGGGCAAGTTAACAAGAAAATGAAGACTGTCACGTTTTGCTTGCTTGCTCCCCATAACATCTGTGCTAAACTCCCTCATGCTTGAGGAGTTTTGGGGATCTGGTGTCAAAGATAAAGGCAGTGGAAAGGAAAGTTAAACAGTAGGGAGGGAAAATGCACAGCAGGGCTTAAGTCGAAATAAGCTACGTCAATTGCGTAGGTTATTTCGAAATTGGGAGCATCTACACAGCACTCATTTTGAAACAGAGCACTCTTCCTCCGACTTCCCTTACTCCTCGTACAAAGAGGCTACGTCTACATTGGCATGATCTTGCGCAAATACTCTTTAATGCAAGAGTTCTTGCGTTAAAGTATTTGCACAAGAGAGCATCTACACTGGCATGTGCCTTTGCGCAAGAGATGTGCTTTTGCGCAAGAGCATCCGTGCCAGTGTAGACGCTCTCTTGCGCAAGAAAGCTCTGATGGCCATTTTAACCATCGGGCTTTCTTGCGCAAGAAATTCATGTTGCCTATCTACACTGGCCTCTTGTGCAACTGTTCTTGTGCAAGAGGCTTATTCCTGAGCGGGAGCATCATAGTTCTTGCGCAAGAAGCACTGATTTCACATGTTAGAACGTCAGTGTTCTTGCGCAAGAACTCCCCGCCAGTGTAGACTGGCAGCATGTTTTTGCGCAAAAGCAGCTGCTTTGGCACAAGATCGCGTCAGTGTAGACACAGCCTGCGGGTTACGAGAGTCGGAGTAAGAAGTCCTCCAGCCAGACGGTATTTTGATACTATTTCAAAATAACTGCCTGCTGTGTAAACGCGGACTAAATTGGTTCGGAACAGGGCTAGTTATTTCAAAATAGTGTTGCAATGTAGACGTACCCCCATGATTCATCCTGTTCTCTGAATAGTGGGCTGAATTTTCCACTTAATTACACCAGTTTAGGTCGAGTTACTGAGGAAATATTTGGCGCTTAGCTTCTGTGTTTCCTGATGTTGTAGTTTTTAATGCAGCCTCAGTGTTGCATGAATATTATTTTTAGAATCGTTACCTAATTCTAATATGGTCTGGATTCTACCTCTGTACCACAAGCACACGCATTCTCTTTCCCGTGCACCCAATTCCAGTTCCTTCCCTTCCAGTGATTTTTTTTTATGGTTAGATTTTTTTTTAAGCTCTGATGTTGCAAGTTATCCCCCCAGCTCCTGACTCACATGACACGTTCAGAGGTCCTGAGCTCACTGCAAGCCTTGTTCTTCCCTTTTGTAGGAGTATTTCTTGCGGCCTGAGCTGACTTGTGAGGCCTTAAAGGAAGGGGCGGTTCGTTGCTCTGTGTCCGAGTGCCCCAACACTGTGCCGGCCGGCTCTATTCTGACCATGAAGAAAGTACCCATCACTTACGTGAGTATCCTCTCCTCTTCCTTCTACTTGTTAGCTGTGTTTCATGGCCCGGGTGCCAGGTTAACAGCCCTAGAGCCGTCTCTTACCAGCCTTTCAACTACGGCTGTAGGAGTAGCAGATGAGATCCGCCTGTGCACAGAACGGACAGGCACAAGGCAGCCATTCTCCACCATTGTAATTCAGGCCACGTTTTCAATCTGTGGAAGATCGACGCTGCTGTGATCGACCTTCCGGAGTTTGATTTAGCAAGTCTAGTTAAGACTCGCTAAATCAAACTCAGAGGGCGCCCCTGCTGGTCTTCAGTGCTCTTGCCAGGACTAAGGGAAGTCGACAGAAGAGGTGACGCCACCAAGCTCGGCTTACGATAAGCTGACTCCAGCTATGTATTCTGTGTAGCTGAGGTTGCGCACCATAAGCCGAGCTGCCGGTTCAGGTGTAGAGCTAGCCTCAGCTTTGTCCTAGTCTCTAGGCCTCTGAGGGGTATTTCAGCCCATGGCTTATTCCAGTCTTGCTCTCAGACATGTCTTCAGCAGCGGTGAAAGTAACTTACATTTCTTACAGCTACTCACACATTGCAACACCTCTTGGGTGGGGGTTCAAAGTGGGGGTTTGGGGGGTTCAGGGCAGGGGTGGGGTGGGGCGGGGGCAAGAAGCAGGGCAGGAAGTTGGGGGGGGGGCTCGTGCCTAGTTGAGAAGGCAACCCGCCCCCGCAAATCCCTACAATTGCAATTGAGCCCCTCTCCGAGTACATTGACGCTGCAGTTTCCAACCCGGGGCTGGCCTGCGCGAGCTGAGTTGGGTTGATTGTGGGACAGACACGTGGGACTGGGCCAGAGCCCTGGCTCTAGGACTCTGCTAGTAGTGAGGGTCCTGCAACTTGTTCTGGCTCGGGCTGCAGCCCATGTGAGTCTCCCGAGCCGGAGTCACCTGGCCTAGGCCGGCCGTGGGGTTTCAGTGCTCTGTAGATCAAAGGTGAAAGTAACCCTGTGCACCTGGAGCGGTGCGCCGGTAAGAGACTGGCTGGCTGGGGATGGGATTCTGGCTGCTGCCTTCACTGTGCATGGGTAAGGTTCCTGTGCCGGTGCTTGGGCCTTACCCCTTCTGCCCTCCTCCCCCACAGGAGCCCAAACCTCCCACCTCCCATAACCTCTGGTGCCCGCACAGCACAGTTCCCACCTCTTCTGGGGGATGGAGCAGGCCCGTGACCACGAACCAGAATTCATTAGGTGGCCCTCCTGAGAAAATTATTGCCCACTCTTGCTTCACGAGCAGGTGGGGAAGGAAAACATTCATTACCCACGTGTGAGAGGTGTGTGATTACTGCTATGGTAGGAGCCACATAAGCACATGTCTAGATACCCGTCTCAGAGCCTTCATGTCTTCCTCACCCTGTTAGATCAGCCCCCGCTATGGTGAAATTGTATCTATGGGGCTTTGGGGTTTGTTTTTTTACAGGCCGCTTTCTACGATTTATCTTTAACGAGAAATAGGTGCCAAAGACAAGACCCGTTGGGTCTGATTCAACAGCAGTGTTCCCAGCTCCTGTAGGCTATGTCTACACTGGCGACTTCTTGCGCAAGAAATATGCAAATGAGGCTAAGCGTGGAATATTGCTGAGCCTCATTTGCATACCTAATGAGCCGCAAGTTTTGCAGAAGAGGCCCTTGCGCCAGAAGGAGCTGTCTACACTGCCCCTTCTTGAGCAAGAAGAACCCCCTTG